TAGGGCAATATGTAACTTCGAGATTTCTGCAATAATGCTAAACCTAACGATCAATGACCATGACAAAATGAGGCAAAGAAAGTGGTGCTGGTTCATGGTGTACCAGAAGTAAAGCATGACGATTACTATGAACGACAAAGACACGAAATTGAAGAGTGAAGGTACGTCACGGAACTCTATACCATGCAAAATGTCGTCGTTTTCGACAGCACCCGTCCAGTTGTCTCCCCAAACTACCACAGTAGCGGGCCAAGAATATTGAGTTACCTTGGCTACGCCCGAGATGGTGACAATGGTAAAGCAAATGTGGTACGATGACAGGAAACTTGGGCCTGTAGAGCTAGGTTTAAGAACATTCATCCAAGTAGTACAGATCTTAATTACAGATGAGCCAGTCTCGGTTGTTCCTATCTCAGACTAGTCTACCGTTAAAAAAACCATACGTTTCAAAAAACGCCAGCGGACCGGCAATATTTGTGCCGCTCACTCACCACGAACCGAGCTCCTAATTCGTCAACAAATAAAACGCTACTACACCAATGCTCAGAGTCTCTACTCCAAGCTGCCAGACGTGCGCCACCGACATAAAAAAAGCAAATTGGGACATCGTAGCAGCGACTGAAACTTGGCTCTCAAACGACCTACTTGATCCAGAGATTGAACTCAGTGAGATGTCAGTAATTCGAAATGTTTGTCAATCTAGAAGTGGCGGTGTTACCATTTACTATCGAGATTACCCTAAAGATTAGGCTATTACCTAATATTCCTTCGTTAATTTTGACATATTATTTTGCCGACTACAGCTAGCAGGTCGGGATGGTGGGTCACAGAGTAAGACTCGTGATTCGTGCCTATTATCAGTTGTCTACAGGTCACCGAACACCTCCACAGACAGTGATGACATTCTGTTAAACGTACTCCATTATGCAGTATCGAAATGTACCTTCAATTTTCACAGTGTCTCCTAAAAGGCCACCAATTAAATCAAAACTCTTTGTATTCATGGAGGTGACAGTTTTGTATAACCATTGTATCAACGAACCAAACACCGCGGTTCAAACAACCAATTATTACTGGACCTAATCCTGACAACCGAAGAGTTGATGGATGAGTCAGTCGCACACGACCCTCCTCTAGGTAGTAGCGACCATTCAGTGCGAACATTTGATTATGTGTGTTACGCAAATATGGTTGATAAAGAACGCAAAACCAAACAAACTATTACGGACTATTCCATGTGTCATTCGAACTGTGAGTCTGTAGGCCCCAGATAACGGTTGTCACCAAGTTGTGAAACTTGGAATAATCAGTACAAGTTTGTTGGGTTTTGCGTTCTTTATCAACCTTACTTGCATAACACACTTAACCAAATGTTAGGACTGAATGGTCTCTACTGCCTAGAGGAGCGGCGTGTGCGACTGACTCAACCATCAACTCATCACTTGTCCAGATTAGGTCCAGTAACGATGGATTATTAAAAGACGGGACAGTAATTGCGGTTATCGAGATGCCGGCAGGATGTTAGTCACCTTACATGTCAAAGTGCCATTTTAAGTGGCACATTACAGATCCCAGGTGGTTCATTGTACAAGGTAATCACACTTACGTCACTGTCTGCTATAGGAGTAGGAGTGGTTTGATGTTCGCGCTCTACCCCAGATGCGTTTGCAACGCCCCTCAGATTGGTCGGTTAAGACAGCCCGTCATACACACAAGAACTCCACTCCATCCACTGCGTACGCCGCTGTTGGCTTTGGCAATTTCCGACTCCTCAACAGTCAGCATTTGGGGTGTGGATCGCAAAACCTCACTAAAGATTTCGATGCTATGCGATTCAATTTCATGCCCTGTGTCTTCCTAACTGCGGGGAGTGAGTCAGTCAAATGCACCCGTGTCGAATGAACCGTTTAACCCTACTTGTAAATCATCCTTATTTGTTCTTCGTTTAATACCCTTCGGATTGCCTCTGAAGTTCCCCCTTCATAGGGATAGCCAGCACAGGTGGCTGATCGGACCGATGCTGTCACAACATTTTGCACTGTGAAGATGCAAACCCAAGTCGAGGCGTGCAGTGTTACAGGTCAGTCGAATCAGTTTGCTTACATAGACCCTGGGTCGGACCCAAAGAGGACCATATTGTACATAAGGTTTGTCAGTCCGTCACCTTTTATAACTTCAAGTACTATACTTAGGTATTTCACAGATGTAGCAGAATGCAATCCATCACTGTCACTAAACTGCTTAATGCACTGTCTAGGGAGCTGCTCGTTCCTGCTTCCTGTGTGTTGTGAAAGAAGCGTATTATGACACTGGGATGCATTAAGAGACAGATGACGAGATTTGGACCAACTATTGACGTCTTTCAGATGATTTTTCAACCTCAGAGAGCAATCGGCGCTTCGATGCTTGATACCGAGATTGATGTCGTCAGTAGAATTTAATTATGGTAGCTTCTGCATTTGGTATTAGTGAGTTCAAGTGGAGGCAGTGCACTTCACAAAATATCGATCGACCACGTGGAATGGCTTCATGTAACTAATTTTGTTTCTCCTTGACCTTGACGTATCCAAGTATGGTGATAAGCTGACTAGTTATCTAAATTTCTATTTTGACATCTGCTGTCCTTGAAAAAGTCTCAACGTCTGCACCTACAGGTTCTCCTCCCCCGTCTGAAGAGGCTGTGTCGACTTAAGGAGAGTTACGCCGTCTCCACCCAGTGTATATCCAGTCTATTCTTGGGAACGACAGCATCACATTGGTATCAAGAAAAGGGTCCAACAAATGCTGATCTGTCGTTTGATCTTTTGTTGCCTAGAAGCTTCAAGAAAAAATTATTCATTAAATGATGTTGTCCCACAACCATCGTCTTCTGATGTTCTTATTTGGAAGTATAAAGGGGAGTTCATGTATAAAATTATGTTCTCGACTTTCCCGCTTCGCGCCGAAGATGTAAACTTATGACGAGCGATTCGTTTCAACCAAATGGACGTATTCCAAGTATCATGCTGATATCTCTGCTAAACCACCATTTAGCACTCCATTTTGTTAACACGTTCATTGATTAATTTTTCTCTCTTCATTACGGCCATCCTACGGGATGTGTCAAGCGTTAGCTATTTGACCCGTTCTTTACCATTGTACTGCCATCTCTGAAAGTGGACCGTCAGATGGGGAATTGAGTGTTATCGACCTCGCAGAATTACATGCGTTGCAGGTACAAGTACCGTAGGAAGGGATCATCAAATCGGTGCACTGCATCCGCCCTGATGGTAAGCGATGCTTGCTGTAACAAAACAGTGCCTACTCGCCTTCTAACAAAATAGCCGCAGTCGTGTTTCGGCATTGTCCCCCACCCAACAGTCCATCGCTGGGTACCCCAAGAATGCCACTCTCCAACCTGTATTTCTGTCGTGTAGGCCTATTTTGTTACTTTACTCGCAAGCTTATCATAGCGCTTTGCATTACCGTCCACAATCAATCACACCCATGCACTTACTATGCGGTCACAGTGCCGTCGATTGCCCGAGCTTCGGTGGATGGGTTGAGCTACACCAGTGCCAAACGAGCTATAAGATGGCTGATGGGTGTCGCATTACCGTGTTCTCAGCTCCCTTCCTACGGTTGCTGTTCGCAAAGCATACCTGGTAGTTCACTTACGCCCACTGAACACTCCAGCCAGTCGCACCATGTGTTTGGACATCCGTTTGCCCCTAAGCTGTGTGGAACCAGATTCAGTGTAGGCACTCGTCGCTAAATGGAGGCTAGAACGCCTGCACGCCTCCACCGTAAACCACCAACTCATACATCTATGCAAGTGCTATTATATCTGCCGTCATTGGCTGATTTGTGCTAACTCAATTCCAAGGACACTGCGCGCGCATAGTGCGGCGGAAAGATACCAGAAGCAATTCAAATGCGTTAATGACTATATTTAATTGGTCTATGGTTGCAAATCATGGCTTTGTGGAGCAATTCAATTGCACTATGGATGCAAGCAATCGGGAAGATTTACATTCCTAACCTATCCGAACTGAACAGCAACTGCATTGCTTAGCTTGCACTTACCTAACACGAATTTAATGATTTGTTCGAGATGCTTGCGGTCAGGTTGCTGCCACAAACGTACGCAACAGATGATTACGCCATTAGATCGCGTGCTTCAAAATAAACCAAGAATGCATTGAAACCGTTTTTCAACCTTTACATATTTTTACAGATGTTCGACACCTACATGCGACCTCAAGTTGTATACGCCACCAATGCGCGGCAGCCCTGGGGAAAATGCGATTTTGCAGCGCTCAAAACTCCGCAACGACGGAGTAACGGCCTCTTTCGTATGTCCTCCCAGCTTAAACTGAAACCTAGCGGAAGACACATCGGTCGTTAGTGGTGTCTGTGGTGGAGTTAATTATGGTCAATCCAATTCTGGAGAACTTTAACCACGTTTGCTATTGGTGTTGCTATCTCTCATCCGTCCGAAGGCTAACCTTCATGATTGCCACCCCGTCGTGGAACTCATTCATAACACTAGCCTGTGAAGTCATCATCAGAAGTGAATCAAGCATTAGAGCCGGCTGGAATGCCGTCAAAATTTCTTCTATTTTCGAGTGTGACACTCGTGGAACACTCTTTCCGTGTACATATTTTCTACTCCCAGGTTAACGATATTTAAAAGCCGAGTTGACGATGTAATGAGTCATTGACATTTCCCTTGTGCTCGCAAGGGTACTACATAACACAAGTAAACTATGCATTCTAAAATTCGAAAAAGGTGGCCTTATAAGTGGTACCATGCAGATTGCTTAGTGAGTTCAACTGTACACACTCAAATCTAATGGCTTGCATCTCGCTGATTTCATTGTTTTCACCTCGAGCATCTTACGGAACCCTTTAGGAATTAGGATTTTATACCATCGTTCCATTATTCCAGTTAGAAGTATAAAGAAAATTCCACATTAAGTATCTGCACTACCATTAATCTTAAGCGGAAAACAACTTACTGGCTTCCTATAACTAGGTAATTGATCGCCAGTGGATACTGGAACCTGTTCACTGGGCCAACCAGGGCTTGAGCAATCGGCCCGACATTGGCTTGCGAAGGGATTGTCCAACTTTGAATGACGCGTTGATCGTACAGCACATCCAAATGTCGTGAATCTTCATGACCAAAATGAAGCGTGATAACGACTTCGATTTCACCGATGGTGGAAGACATCAGTAGGTCTGCCTCTGGTCGCCTCTCCGTCATCGAATCACTCCAAGCAGGCATGGAAGCGTTCAAAACTTGTGCCTCAAATAATTCCAGATCACGCAGAGCAAAGGCCGCGTCATTCACTGGTCTGGTGGTTAGAGATTCGGTCGTGATCAACTTGGTGCTTGCACCGGGGATGACCAAACCAAGACGAAAGTCGGACATCAGCGAAATGTGCAACCATTCTGCAGATCGCTGTGAGAGACGGAGTGTATATCACAAAATTGTATGATAAATGTTTGAACAAATGGTAAATAGCTGTCAAGATGTTTGCATATTTCGTTACCCATACTTCATAGCTTGTTTATCTAGTACTGTTGATTATAGTGGTATGCTACAACTGATCTCTTGCATGCGAGACCGCAAAGAAGGACGTCGCAGTTAATTCATGAGGGAAATAAATGTGTTGTGTATGGCTAGAGTGCAAACCCAGAACGTTGCAAGTCATATTGTTCGCAAATACTGAGTGTTGGAGCACCTGCTCATCTTCATCCACAGAAAGGTTGGTCAATAATCGGAAACGGTGATGCTTCCCTTGGTTTTCATCCCCTCGCTGTTATTTCAATTTTGAATGTTGTCAAGTTGGCTGTACACTCCATCAGCTGGCGTTCTAGCTGTTAAGGAATTCACCTTGCAGTAGGACATCTTCACAGCTTTAGAAAGGACAATCATCGACCTCGTCGCGGATGCTAGAGATCACTCTCATTTCGTTACCGCGTACGAAAAATGTTCACATTGAGTATCGGGCTGAGTATTCTGGTGAACCAAGATCCACGAAGGAACACTTGGCTTAACAATGAGCCAATAGTATACGTTTATTTTTCCACAACTAGAGTCAGGTAGTAAATATCACATTTCCGGAAAAGCATCAGACCTTTGTTACATATTTTTAGATTTGTCAGTAGCTCGCATGGCATCTGTCCAATGTGGGGCTCAAACCCGTGATCCTACTCGTATGAACATGTGGTTTAGGTCAGTAAGTCACGGGGGTGGTAAAGACTTATACGACGTTTTATCAGTATACAACCCAGGTTGCTTGTAACGCCGCAATTTGACCGACGATTTAAGGTTGGGAAGTCGTTACTCAGAGGTACACCCTGTCTTCCGCACGTCAGCAACACGCAACGCAGTGGAGAGTGAGCCGCGTTAGCTAACAACCAGCAACTCGGTCATGTCGGTCATCGCCGTCCCCTGTGGTCCAACCATCTTATCCACGAGATTTTAGGAGTAAGGTCGTGAGCTTCAGACCCACAGGGGTCGAGTAACACGCACACCGCTGATGATTGAAGAAAAAATGGAACAGTTGTTTAATGCTGCACAGGGTGTATGTCGGCATTTCGACCGAGTACATCCGCAATGAACTTAACTTATATGTCTTCCCCATTAATCCCTGGTAGTGAGTAACACCAACTCACCGTAGTCTTCTAATAATCGGTTAAAGGAGAAAATTTGTGCCACCAAAGTAGGTCGGGATGTACTTAAACTGCACCGAGACATGCCCATCGGTCAGATAGACGATAACCGACGGCCTGGAATTCAGGACTGAGGGAAATGAGTTGTCAGTTAACTAGCAGAGAAATCAGTCGGGCCTAACAGACCTTACACACGCAGGTGTAGAGATCGGAGAGACATGAAAGTTGGCTAAGGAGTTTGAGTCGTGATGTATGCGCTTGAAGCCTATGTGGATATCTCTGGTTTGTTGGAGATGGATGCGTGTGGGATGATGTGCCTACTCAGTCTGTGCACAACTACGGAGCGACAAAGCGACAGCTGATTTGGTAGGTACTACTACAGTTGGAAGTCGATCAAGAAAGAAACAGAGGCCCAGTGCGTCCGAGCGTTAGCTGATGGAAGCGATGAGACGATCCAGGTGGCTAAGAACACTGACATCATACTATGATCTCGTTTGTTGTCTGCGTCCTAACCGCTCCAGGCAGGATAATGAAAAGCATGCGTAGTGGTACTTTAAAGACTATCATAAACGCGCACGCCACAAACTCACCATTTGCAATCGCAACAGGCTCACGTCCGTCGCTGAAGTAAGCAACGGGTTGAACCTCAAAGTCATAGTGATTCCAGGTTCCCACAGAGATCCTAGTTTGGAAGTGTCCAAATTGATCTCATCCACGTCCAGTTTGTTGCGCCTTTTGTCCGGCACGAAACGAAGGCAGTACTGAGCACTTGGTTCCACGCTCGGCTATAAGGAAAAGATGATATTGTGCACTAGATCTCGCCAAACAAAGGGTGCAAATTCGGCGAAATTACTATCGGTATATATAGGGGATATCGACTAATGAAAGCGCCATCTCGCTTGCAGTTATCACGTGATATGAGGCAGCTAGTCGTTGTGGTCTTGTTAGGTCAATGGTCCCACGCTTTGCTCATACTGACGCTCCATTTGCGCGGGTCGCGATAGAACTTCGGAGTTCAATGGATCAATGAAAATAACCTATACCGAAGCAGGCAGATGTTAGGTGGGTTGCTCTCCTGCAACATACAGCACAACGTGACTGGTTTCGTATTTAGTTGCACTCGTCAGTTAAGGGTACTATTGCTACGACCCGAACCCAGGATAAATGGGATGTCAGCTTTATGCCGCCAAGCCGTGGCGGGTAACGCTTGTGAACCAGATTGAGATTACATGTTGTCATTCATTGACACAATGAGAGCTTGTACTGCTGAACTTACCAGAGTGAGAGATTCGCCACGTTGTTGCAAGTCGGCGTATTGAGTGTCACCAAGACGGGACACAGGTGTGTTTACGAACTCCTCCAGGAAAAGCCCACCATCTTGGCTTGGTTTCTCGTTTGTTATTCCCACGCGTCCAGCGAACGGAGTAAGGGAAAGTCCAAGTCTAATAACAAGATAACGGGACGATCAATCGTTCGCAGTATTCTTGCATGCAGTTGTTTTAAGGCACTCAGTACCGTGCGATTAAAAGTGTCTCAATAACTACCCAGCGTGTGTTGAAACTTGCTCCAAATACTACAGCACGAGTTCGAAATTCCCCATTGCTTGCTATGGTTTTGCTATTGATTTTAATACATGAATTTAGTATACCGTTGAACTTAGGAAAGCCAAGTTAAGCGGTAGGTTGTGCGACCTGAAATAGCGAATGGAGCCTGGAGATACCAGATGGCCCAGTTTCCCGAGTCATTGGGTGGCAAACGTCAGTATTGCCAGACAACCCAAAGAAAAGGTACAATGGAACAATGGTTTTATAGGGTAAGAAAGCTAAAGCTTAACAGGTCCCGTAGGATGGTCATGGTAAAACTACAAAATATAGAAAAATTGTTCACAAAATTGGGTTTACGCCCGTAAACTCACTGAGGTTTACGTAGTATAAGCCGTAACTCCCATGTAAATGCATAAGGAATGACGGCAAATGGGATGTCAGTACAAATCGCGCTACCTCCTGGTGTACACATACAGGAGGCAAAAAAGTGGTACGAAATCTGGGATTTGACCGCCAGTGAAAGCGTTTACAGACACTTGTGTTTATCCATAGGTAGTGGGTCGTGTAAGAGGGTGCAGCGAAATGAGTGCACGATCAACTCGGGTTTTGAACTTTGCCAGCGTGCGAACACATATGACGGATTCCGGTAGGGCATTTCACATTTTGTAAACGCGTACGGAAAATAAATTCCGACGGCATTCCAAACGATTTGGCTGCTCTGACAGCTTGAGGTGATGGCCTCTTAAATTGCTGTTGTGACTGAGCTCTAGCAAATGGCGGCACGTGTAGTTGGGGTCTCTCAAATCTGATAAGTCAAAATTAGATCACCGTGCAATCCTCGATAATGTCCGCTGAAGACCGCGAGCACTTGAAACCCTTGTTCATATGGAAAACCATACAGAACATTGACATTCTTGGTTTCCCGGCTTTGGAGTTTCTCCAACGCGGTGAGATCTCTCTTCAGCCATAATGGCCCGAATGTCGTCGAGCATGTGAGCAAACGTGTAATTCTGGCTTTGACTCCTAACGTATCCTCTAAGGACTTTCACATTAACGATTCCAAGCTTACACGCCGCATCCCGTCAGTGAGTCTCAAGACCATCCCAGCTTGGCTATGCAGATGTGCGTGTAACGCTTAGTTTCGTTGCCCTTACGAGACAGGTCCGATTGAGCATTATCATCATCACGAGCTTCTCAGTCCACCGACTACAAGTTAATTGGCAATGGGTACCAGACATTGCAAGGGACAAAGTGGGTAAGTTTCCTGGCCTACACCGCGTGCCACTGATTCCATCCTGTGTAGGTACGGGGGATCTCGCAGAATCCATGGCCGACACACCGTTTCTCAAACACACAACAAATCCCCATACTAATAATCAGTAAGCCTCTTAGCAGCTTACTTACATGCCACCTCTCTTGCTAGCGGCTTGCAAGGGAAGTTGTAGCTCTGGGAGCCAATCCTATCGTCCGCATGTTCATAATGTGCATGACATTGGAGGATGAGCCGCGCTATATTGCAGTTAGATATCAGCCATGCCGGCCCGCTGCCGTCGCCCATGGCTTTGTGGTATTAGTCGTTGGCTCGCAAGAGTAAGGTCGTGGGTTCAAAACCGGTAGCATTCGGCAGGTGCGTGCTACTGAAGAGATCTAATGGGACAAAACAGTCGTCTAGTGCTTTCCTGGATGTATGGTGGCTGCCTGCCTGCCTTTAACTGCGACAAATGTTCTCAAACACACAAATGGTGGTGTTCGCATGGTAACGAAAAGTCGGTGCGACATGCCGTTGTGCTGCACTTGCCCTGGTATGTGTACAATGGGTCCTGTCCTCGATACGCAAAGTACTTAAATCAGTTATGCACGATGAAAGGTGGCGGTGTGGCTGGAATGGATTGCCTTTGCGAATAAGGTATGCATCAGAAGCATGGAGTATCCTTCAAATGGCACTGCTTGACCTGAACGTGAATAGTTTTTCGATGGGAAACTCTTGAAGTTAGTGGCTGAGCTTCCATAAGTTGATGTACTCGCCGAACAACTTATGGCGTAACTGCTCCACTAGAACTCTAAGTTCATCAGGATAACCAGCGTAATAGAAGTTTGTGGAGTTTCAGTTCGATAGGCGTCGTGTTGATATCTGGTTACAGGATTCACTGTTGCACAAATGGTACAGAAAGCCCTACTTCCCTGGACAGTGGCGTATAGTATTTGTTACAATTAACTCATTAGCTTGTGAGAAGTATAGCTGCTGATCATTACAGCAAAAACTGAATACCAATAACAAGAGCCTCGATGAATGTAGGACGGTGTGTCGCGAGCCAGAGACTCCTCTCACTTGACTCCATCAGAACGTGATTCACCGGACTTCGTTTCTAAGTAACCCAATCACTGGAAATTTTTTGGACGTGCATGAACTTTTCAAACATTATCGCCACCGAATTTCACTTTTAACTACTGACCAGAAGATGCGGCGGGCGATCCAAATGCCAAAAGATCCCAAGCTTCTGTGAAACCATTTTGATGTGGTGTACAATTAATCGGTGGGAAGTATACCGTTATTCAGTTGAAAGAAGCGCGGTACAACCCAAGTACCCGACAAACTTAACACAGCGGGCACGCGCAACACGGGCCCAATCCCGTAACGTTGGGCAACATGGTTTCAGCCGTACGGGACAATCCCAGATTACGACCTAAGGGAGAGGGTATCCTGTACTTTGTTTGTCTTTGAAAAAATCGGACACTCAGAGTCGCGAATCCTTTCGCCGGTTCAATATGCTTGTGCGAAATATAGTGGCTAATCATAAAAAGTCGACGGAAGAGTAACTGTCCTACCCTAGAGTTTCCACAAAATAAGACCACTGAAAAACTGGTGACTTGAATCGTATTTTACATTTGCGGAAACTAATGCATTTTAATGCTTTATTTCATTTCAGCAGCGATGCAATGACCTCGTATTGAACAGTCCCAGTCACATGTGAGGTCGCCGACCGAAGTGCCGCAGTTGAGGGGTCAAGAGCTGAGCTGGAAGAACCATAAAATTCGCTCAGAATACTGCTGGAACTGGCTCCCTCATCGAAAGTAGCAGAAGTGGAGCAACTTTTCAAGGCATTATTTTCGGGCAGATTGCTGTCACATTGGCACAACCAACCGGATTAGAGGCTTAGGCACATTGGGGCCAATAGTCGACCAATCAAGTGACACCTGCTCACAGTTGATGTTAGCCTTTAAATCTGAATTCTGCAGACACGTCAGTTACAATGCTAAACGCACACAACTGTGCCGATTGGTCGTGAGAATGTAAGTTTTCGGCTACTGCGTTTAACGAAATTAGAGGTAAACTACTCGCAAAAGAACATCACTGTTGTTCACAAAGGCAGCGGCCCGGTAAAATAAGCCACGTGTTCTCCTATTCCAGTTAGCAAATCAAACAGGTCTGAAGGGTTGGTCGTATAAACGACTGTATGACGCAAGTCGTAACGCTTCCTAGTAGCATGATATTAGCTATGGTCAAACCACATTGATATTTTCCAACTTCAGCAAATATAACAACGTACAAACGAAAAGATAATTCCCTTCTGTTCATTGGAAATGTTGCATAAAAATCTCGGAAAAAACATTGCATTGTACTCCATTATTCGCTGTCTGCGTAATTCAAAATCGCAACTGGTCAGCGTGATAGGGAATACACCTGCTCATTTATCTAAGACATTGCTGGCTGTACTTTCCCCTATGAGTGTTCTGCGCAGAAGCAAGTGGATTTTTACAATCCGTGAATACAACGGCATAAGCGGTGCTTACTCATACATCCGACGACGTAATGCATGGTATCCGGGAGGGATAGCACCCACAAACATGACTACTTCGTCGTTACAGTCGGTAGCCAAGAGCTCATCCACGCGCCACAATCGTACGGTTAGGTCGGATTGAGTGATTGATACCCCTCTTTTCTCTTCTGTACCAGAGGCCGCGTTGGAACGTCTCCAACGTGGACTGTAAGCAGCTGCACGTAAAACACGTTGGCGAAGATTTTCGCCCATACCACGACGGTCGAGTTGGTGCACAGACCGATAAAGCTGATTTCCGGTCCACTTGAAAGCCTTTGGGACGCCATTGTGTAGCTCTACTGTCACACCGATATCCTGAAACGAGTAGAACAGAATTGTCGAGAATTGGCATGCTGGGACATGCTGAACCAGCCGTTGGCCGTTTGGATCTCTCATCACAAAAATGTAAACGCACTACAGGATGCGTTACTGTTAAGCATGTGCAACTTACGAATCCGGAATGAAATATCGCTTTGGGACATGCTCATATGCGAATCAGCTCCAAACAACTTTGGCTAACACATGATTATTCCAGACTATACTTTATCTTATTCGATCAAGGACTAACAATTACTGGGTAATAAAGAAGAGCTAGATCACAAACCGGGAGAAAGTGAAGGACTGGCATGCGATCGTAAAGTGGCTCATGCTTAATATTTTGAACCTCTCACCAACAGTCCTTGCGACTGCCCAAACTTCGAAGCCTAAAGGACCGAGTACCAGTATTTTAGCTATCCAGAGGTGCTTACAAGTTACTAGAACACCGCAAAAAGGCTTATTTGCCCCCAAGGTAAGACGGAGCACGAAGGCACTAGGGAGGTTTTGGTTACGCAGGCACGTTCGTGTTTAATCAGGTCTGCCTACAACGTGTACACTCTTATGCTCTTTCCACTGAATAGTTCTGTGTGACTAGCCAACGTTCATAATAGGTTCCTCGAAGTAAGGTGTAAAACTATCTTGACGACAAATAAGAGTGTAAAGCATGATAAATCCCTGTAAGATCTCACCTTGTCAAAATTAAAGAAGGTAAACACCATCATTGGACCATTCAGCGCTGCTGCCAGTGGCGTCACCTGAAATTGTACTCGATCTTCACAGAATTTCAAATCCTTAAACTGTTGCACACGAGCATACCCACCAGTTCCGGCGAAATCATAATAGAATAATCGTTGGAGTAGATAATTAGGTGGGGTTGTCTGTGGAGGACGAGTGCGGGTTGTGACACCACCGAAATCGCTCTGCACTTGCCAAATGTAACCGTCCCGAGCCAATGCACGATAGTTGTACCTATTGTGGAGTGAAGAAACGGGGTTGTCACAACTGAAGGAGAATCAACTGTATGCAACTGTTTGCAAAATTAGAGCTTGTTACTAGAGCAAGCAACACAAACAGGTATAAGCAGCCGTTAGAGCCACCTCTGAAGCAGTGTAGATTTTGGATTGGATTGTATACTCCCCAACAGGTGAGTTCGCCATTCTCGATCGCTGGAGCCCCATCCGATTTGACATACGTCATAATATAGCTCGTTTTCGTGGCTTCTCTATAGGTGGACATCACCTGGTTTTGCTCTTCGAGCAAAGGTGTCAAAAGCGAGATCCGAACATATACCATTACGGCCGGCGGTCAAATTCTAATTTCACTACATCAACAAACCCCCCGACTAGCACTTGCAAAAGCAGCCAATTCATCATCATCGTAACTATACTGTAGCAGGGACCAATAGGCTAGTGTCTAAAAGTGAGAGGGATAGCGCACGTTTATAGATTTATCCAGTCTATTGCATAGTCCGTCAGCAACCGATAAGCCCAGGTACGGTTAATACTATGACTGCACAACCACAGTTTGGTCCCCCCCAGCCACCCCCCCACACGCGCGAGTGGTGGGAACAGGGGGCAGATAATACGTGACAGGCTGAATATCACCGATGGATTAGTAGTTGGACTAAAGCAATTGCACTCATACTAGGGCCTGTCAATTTCCCCAACTCGCGGGTCTCTTGTCAAGGATCCCGTCTCAAGGAGTCCTGACGACTTTTCAAAACACATTCACTCGGACGTGTGACAACATATTAGGAGGGATGTCAAATGTTTTGTCTAACAGAGTAAACTGAAGTGCTCGAAGGCAATGCATCAAGAAGGTTGCCACACTCGAAAAAGCCATTTTGTAAAGTCGACAAGATCAAAACGCCACTGTTTAACTTACCGGCTGGAGCGAAGACCGCGGTATGTGGAAAAGAAAGAGAAAGGGCAATTTATGGGGACAAAACTAATGCATGAAAACAACAAATGTTTAATACACCTTGCAAGGAACGGTTCTTGTGAAGGAACGTGAAAGTACCGTAGTCAAGCGAATTTTGAACATCTTATTACACGTAAATGGATTGTGGTCTTAACTGTACTGATTGTAAAAACCTAACTGCATCGGTCGGAATGGGTATACCAACTGAGGGCAGAATGAAACGATTAGCTTATCATCGTTGAATGATACCACTGGCGACTTGCCACACACTTCAACCGCTCAAGCGCAAATAAGAGAATATGAAAAATGCGGACTCGACTTACAGTTGGCATTCCAAACTTGATGGCTGTCTGCAACTAGGGGTAGCAGAAGCCAGGTCAGCTAAGCTCATGGTGATACCACCAACACGAAAATTGAAGGTGCAAAAGTAGGCCGGCTCCATGGAAGAAAGCCGAGCCCAGAACGACTCTGCACCGTTGTCTCCCCACGCTTCTGGATTCTGCCACGAAGATCCCCGCTGAACTGCTCCGCCGATACGAATTTCCATTTGACGATCCAAAATTAAGGCGGACTCAGGATGGTCCGACCCTGCTTTTGAAGTGACTTCGCGCATCACCGGGCGGGGATGCTCTTCATTTGGCCTATCGGTGAGTAGCATTCGTGTTTCCCCTCCGATGGAGGTCACACGAACCTGATACCACACTCCGGTTTCTAATGCATCGAGCTCCAGAACCCCTTTGGCCACATTCCAAGAGAATCGTAACTTTGATCCCGATGACTCCAGGGTGAACGCAAACATTTGTGTTCTCCCAGCAAAAGCTCGCCTCCCGACCATCAATACACCACCCATAGAAGGTTGGTCTTCGTGCAGTCTAAACCAGAACTCGATATCAAATACACGTGACTTTGAGGCTGCATAGGGTACCAGCGTGTAGACACAGTCACGACCGAGAAGTAGGGGTACGGGATTCTTCGATAATGACCCGTAACTTACGTCCAACAGTGATCTTGCTTCGTCCGTGAGGCGTCGTAAGCGCAGCAGCTTTGCGTCCATTTGCTTGATCGATGCTTCTGTCTCGGAGACCAGTTTGACCAAATTGGTCTGGGTGTTATTTGCTTGATCAACTGAAGGATGAAAGAACGCATAGGGCAAATTGTAAAAGGTTTTCAAACAACTGGTAGCAAAGTATAGGTAGGTGTGCCGATTCGAATAGGATTGAAATGATAGGTAATCAGTCATTCTACAATTAGCCATAAATTCTGGAGAGTGGGCCACAACCCTACCTCAGAGTAATGCCCCCGGCAATCGGATACTGAGGAAAGACATTTCGACTGCAGTAGAGTGGTAAAAGTCCCATGAAGGATATAGTAAATGTATTAACTACGTCTCCATTGATCAGAAAACACGTCTAACCGACCATGCCACACAAATTTGGACTGGGTGCAATCTTCCCAGCGTAAAGATAGTGCAACTTTTGGTACCCCATCAGTTGGGCCTCAGATTAAAGTCGGAGGGAACCTGCATACCAAACAAAGCAGACTGCTTACACGAAAATATCGGCGTGACATTGAACAAATAGATAAGTGAGCGCGTAACATCTAGAGTTTTCTAACGGCTTAGGAATATAAGAAGTTCACAATTGCGCGAAAATAATCTTGATAAATCTCTGCAGACATTTACAATTATAAAGCCAAATTAGAAAACAAATTGGCAAATGAAAACCAGATCTAAATTGGAAAGAAACATGAAATCCTCACCATCCATTGGCTAGCTATGACTGGTCATCGATCATTGTCCCAGTCAGTCGAAATCTGCCGCCCGGACAAAACGCACACATGGTGCAGCTAATTCCAGAAGTTTTGTCCCTTTTTACTCTGTTACTCGATGACCAAGGCTCACGCCTTCGGGTGAGAGGAGAGAGCACTAAATTGCCAACTGTCCAATAGTATATGTTGGTCTCCCTCCAAATGTCCCTCACCTGGTCACATGGGTATGAACGACCGGAGTGATGGCGTATGCCTGCATTTAGCTACAGGTGTACGTGCCAGTCTCGTCCATCATGCAAACGCTGGATGGGCGCGGATCGCTGAACGGAAGTCAACCTACGGTACGCCACAAGGCATGTTCACCGATCGATACATACCGTGTTTCGGGGTAGCTGGAAGGAAAACAAGCTTGCAACGTCAAGACAGAAGTGCACCAGTGCCGGGCTACTGCCGTCGATTTGTGATGTCGCTTGCCCAGACCCAATTGGCCTGTGCAAGGAGTGTTCAGTAGGTGCTTAGTGTTATCCAGCTAATGACGAAAGGATTATTTGCAACGCTCTTGTAGACTGACAGTTAGCTTCCAACAACCCACCTTAGCAAATGAGGCATTCCTTTCAACTAGGTCTCGCTCATATGAAATGTAACGTTTTGAGAAAGGAATCTTGAAAAGATATGCCGCCTAAAGACTATTCGCTGCCGCATAGCCTATTCTTCCGTCACTATCTTGATCGTAGTTGCAGGAAACAAGTGCGGTTACGATGTCCAATCTGTGTCAGAGTGATTGTGACAGGACCGTAAATTGTCTCCACTGCCGCTCATGAGCGTACATTCCCACATATTCGCTGATGAAGCAATAGTCCATTAGCATGGAACTGAGAAACTGCATTAGTAGACAATATCTAGTGCTCGCGAATACTGAGATTCACGTATTCCACGAAGCGCGAAGCACGAAGCTCATTGACTCAAAAAATTGATTGATGAATCGTGGGACCACGACACACGCACGTGGGTTCTCACGCATACTGTCCACTACAAGCCAGTTATACCTGTAATAACTTTTCGGACACATAGTGATGCAAACTCCGAATATCAAATTCAAAAGGATTGATAAACTATGCTTTCACCTTCTGTATTATTACATAAAAATCATGGGACCATCTTTCTTCCCCCATTATGTGACCGGTATGCTATTGTTTAGAAGCACTCATCCCAAGCCAAAGTCTGTACGCCGATGAAGACGATAAAAATACGAAACCGCGTAGCCTCTTCTCACATCGCCATCTCGTTCACATCCTCCCTGCTTTCCTTAGGCATAACCTAGAAAAACAAATATGCGGCTATGCAGCAGCGAATAGTCTTTAGGCGGCATATCTTTTCAAGATTCCTTTCTCAAAACGTTACATTTCATATGAGCGAGACCTAATTGAAAAGTATGCCTCATTTGCTAAGGTGGGTTGTTGGAAGCTAACTGTCAGTCTACAAGAGCGTTGCAAATAACCCTTTTGCCATTAGCTGGATAACACTAAGCACCTACTGAACACTCCTTGCTCAGGCCAATTGGGTCTGAGCAAGCGCCATCACAAATCGACGGCAGTAGCCCGGCACTGGTGCACTTCTGTCTTGACGTTGCAAGCTTGTTTTCCTTCCAGCTACCCCGAAACACGGTATGTATCGATCGGTGAACATGCCTTGTGGCGTACCGTAGGTTGACTTCCGTTCAGCGATCCGCGCCCATCCAGCGTTTGCATGATGGACGAGACTGGCACGTACACCTGTAGCTAAATGCAGGCATACGCCATCACTCCGGTCGTTCATACCCATGTGACCAGGTGAGGGACATTTGGAGGGAAACCAACTTATACTATTGGGCAGTTGGCGATTTAGTGCTCTCTCCTCTCACCCGAAGGCGTGAGCCTTGGTCATCGAGTAACAGAGTAAAAAAGGACAAGACTTCTGAGACTGACCGTGTGTGAGGGTAGACAGATCAGCGGTGACCAATACTGGTCGCCTGTCATGTATGAGTTGAGAAATTCCAGCCGGAGTGCTTTTTAGGCCACGGGAGAACCAATATTTGCACCAGCGTCTTTGTTTGCACAGTTCGGATGTCTTAATTCCTTTAGATAATCGCTTCGGGATGGTATATATGACTCTGAATGAGTTATTTGCCTGAGTCTGATGTCCCATTTCATCCAATTGCTCAAGTATCGAACTGTTGATCTTCCTTACTTTGCCTTTTCGTAGCGAAGCAGGGCAGTGTTCAGCGATCCTTTTGGACAGGCGCCTGGTGGCATGTGTGTTCTAATTTAGAACTAGCTTTCATTAGCCAATCGGTTTTCTAGTTTTGCTCTATAGTTGTAAATGCCTGATGAGATTTATCAAGAATAATGCTTTTTGCGCAATTGTGGACCTCTGATTTCATGGGAATTATTCACTGGTTTGGGAATAGCAGTAGCAAAATCCAGCCATCTGGTGTCGTAACCAAGTGTTGGGTTAAAGAAACTAAGGAAGCACTTGAAGAACAGAAATTTTATCGGCTGTAAGGGAAGCAGTATAAACGACAGGAGATGCATAAAATACAATGAATTGATCCGAACGTCCTCTGGGATCGTTGGCCAGACGGTTGCAGTGTCATCTAAACTAACATCGGCAAACATAGTTGTTTCCACGGTGTGCTCTCACCACTGATGGTATGGAAACTGTTACAAAAGTTGGTCACAATTAAGACGTGTATGAGATCCTATGTTCTTTCCTATCTCGAATGACGATGACGACGGTGCGAATGATAAGACATTCCCGGTCGATAACATTTGGGCACATCTGAAAGGGATACGGTGTGAGTCCAACCTGACCTAGTGTCCAAACGATGTAAAACGAAACGGGCACTAGACAGCCTTCTTCTGAACACAAATGGGGAACGTCGCACCTGGTGGGAAGTTAAGCGATAAAAGAACGCGGAGCAAGCATGCTGCTCCAAGTGCCCGGGAAACAATTTTAACTAAGCCTTATGAACAACTGTGGATAAATTTCAATAGGCGTAGAAGAGATGAGGAGAGAGGTGTGGGAATGTGTGATAAGATCAGGTTGGCTCCAGTGAAATCAAGAGGACCGCCTTGGTTGGCCATATATTGTCCACCTGGACCAGGGTTTCTGTTTATGGTAGTTTCCAAGACTAGGTCAAGAGTTTTGACTATCTGTAAACAGAGTTTTATTTGGCTCCACACTGAAGATAACCAAGTACTACCGGCCGAGAACATTAGCCGAGAACTGAAGTGACCAATCAGCTGTGAGTAAAACTGCATAGCTTAACAAGAAAATTCGTTAGTGCGCAGCGACATTCTCCCGTATAACAGGTAACAAAATCAACCTGGAAACTGACTAACCAGTGGACTGCGCTGTTCCTTGTAGTTGGGCATATCGATTCTCCATGCCTTGTAATCGATCTTCCAGATCATCCATCTTCTGACGCTGCATAGTGGCCATTTCCGAGACATTGGTTGCTTGGGGCTGAGTATCTCTCAGAACTTGTCTAATGGATTCCGCTGACGATAAAATAAGAAAACTTTAACTGCATAAGTTATGAGCAAATTGAACATAGTGCTTCCACTTATTGCGTAGACATTGCGATCGATCCATAGGAACCACAATGGTGTTATACGAACTTGCTAAACAAGTCCGGCGCATCAACCCGCCTTTTCCAAACTTCAAACAGTCAGATCAACAGCGAAACTCTGTCCTACACGATCAAACCATCATCATCATTCATCATCATACACGTTAACTAGAGGTGGGGAACATCACAGCTACTGTGTTGCAATACACAGAAAAAAGGAGAAAAAATGCAACCGGTGCAAGCCGGCTGAGCTACCGGCAACGGATGGGCATCGTTCCGGTAAGCTACCAGCCGGCTACTGTGCATCAAAAAAATTACTATGCAAAATTAAATAAGGCTAAGTAATGAGATGGTGGTTGGAGGGAGAGGCTAAGAGGGATGGGGTGGGACAAAGAAACTCACAGCACGAACCCGAGTGAGGTCGGCTCCTTGCCATATCAGCAAGTGATCAAACCATACGGATGTTGGATATTTGAAACTGCATCTTGGTGCAAGGTGTTCTGGCTCCTTTTGCTTCGCTCAATAAGTATACAACTGGGAAATCACCTTAAATCTCTCTCTACATCGGGTGTAACCTGAAAATGAGGACCACGCAGCCGTACCTATACCCAGCATACAAGATCTTCAACTTGAATATCGTATACGAAAAGACGATCATGTAGGTCTCCAACAAAGCCAACACTCGGTCGGCCGTGCATATCTAATGAGCTAGAAAAAGAATGAGTCGAGACGCCAAGTGCCTGCACTGCGACATCGATGCATAAAATTATGTCGTTGTTAAATGTGCCTTCTATAAGACAGGTGGGTAGGCGGGCGCATCAACCAAGTGCATGCTGGATCCAGTAGTATTTTAATAACCATCTTGATATGGGGAACTAGATTCCATCTACTCTGAGGCGGACATGCAACGAATTAGGATATTTTCAAGGGTATAGTTCTCACGTGTGTACGTACTTCCCATTGCTAACAGCAGCACTACTGATGACGAACTGCAAGCAAGTGAACCAGACCGGCTACTGAATGAAAACAACAGTATGTCTCACCTCTAATTCACATCGTATGCATACTTTGAAGCTTTTAGGTGCAGCGATGTCAGAGTGCCTCCCCACTTAACCCATAAAACATGCGTGAGATCCAACACCAGAATGACTGGCAACGTTTGGCATTAGCCAGCAGCGAACGATGTGCACAGAAACTTAAGCGAATTGGCGAGCACTATGGCACGCACCACCTGCCCAGGGAAAGCAAGCGTAAAGCACCACAAGTGAACGTTGCTTACGAGATGGAAAGGTGTGTACAGGGTGTGCGCATTGGGGTAGAAAGCTATAACTGCTGTGAGATATTTCTATATCAAGTGCGCTAGGCTAACTCCTAATGAGGTAATGAAGCATAACAATACGACCGACTACGTTTGGTTCTGCATAGACTTTACGACTATCCTACTAGTCAGATGCATAGCCGTGTTGGTGCAGAAGTGCAATAAACTGGCAGAGACTGTAAAGCAAACAACCGTCGTAAAAGTTGTTCGGCTGGACCCAAACAAAGCAAAGACACGAACTTGACGTTCAAGACCAAGATTCATTTCAGAGCAGGGTAGCCAAATCGGACTTAAGAGCAAGGATCCAGAATTAGAAAGCTCAACGTTGCTGAGTCCTGCCCTGAAACGAGGAGCGGCATGTAACGCTACCTTAGTACTGCATGGTCCATGGAAGTTCCTCGACACACCCAATCCTACTAACAGACTAACAACATATGCGTCCGTTGCTGCCATGCACATAAAAGAGGCCCTGTCCATTGTAGCGTAGACCGATGTCAGACTAAGAGTAGTTAGTGCTGTCAATAATACCGCGGGCCTTGAAATGCAAACCTCTGTCCCACCAAACTAAGCAGATAAGCACTTCCATAAGAAGCATAATAGTGGATAACCTTACAATTTTCTGAGTGGTATATGCTTCAGGTGCCTACATCATGCAAACTCAGTCAAATACAAACGGTTAGACGACCGGAAACAGCGAGACTCCATTGGGACCTAAGCTAAACGGGCTAGTATGATGCGTCTTCTCTGTCACCTAAAGTCGGTACACTATGAAGAATGAAGAATAAAACATCACGTGATAAAATCAAGCGATCGACACGTCCCGTAAGATGGTTGGAGGTGAGTACAGTGAAGACAAACTATGTGTGAATCATCTACCAAGCCTTTGACGAGATAGATGCGTTGATAAATAACGTTAGCGGAAAATAAAAGTCGAGTGTAAGGATACAGAAATACACGAGGTGCAGTGCTCGCTGATGTAAAGTGTGAGAAAAGTAAAATATGGTCGCTCACTTATGCGCCGCCTCTTAGGGTCCATGTGACACATAAATCCTGTAGAAGGACATGCTTGACGCAATCCAAATGGCGTAGTTTAGGTAACAAAGTGTTGGGAGCGAAGAGCAACATCCAATCATTTTCTGAATATGTCCAAAGTATGGAGGATACAACTGAGTCTGGAAGTGCGTTCCAGGGTTGGTAAACCCGAAGGGAAAAATAATTCCGTGGAAATTTCAGCCAGCTATATTGCTCCCTCAATTTCAAGCAGTTACCTCTGAGCTGCGTGTTGTAGCTAAGTTTCAGCAAATGGCGGCATGCATGGTTGGGGTCGCTCAATATTTGAAATGCTAATATGAGATGGCCTAGTGGCCTTCGGTAGCGTCCGCTAAAAGCCAAGCAACATCAGTCTTCGGTGGTTAGAGTGATACTACAAGCCCTTTATATTCTTTGTTGATATCCGTCGTGGTGCTTCTAATGTCTCTAGGTCACCCTTCAACCAAGTTCGCAAAGTTTGGAAATCGTTTTCAACGAGAGGGCGCACGTAGGCATTGAGCAACAGTGGGAAGGTTGATGGGGCAAACCTCCCGAATTCCCTATGCAGCAGACCGATGTGCTGGTTGCCTCTTTTCGCAGCTGCCCCAGCCTGTTTTGAAATCACGCTGTACGAACACAACAAGACCACGTTCCCAGGAGCTGGTCTGCAATCGTGTGTCCCATGCAAATACGAGTGGTCATATCTATGGCTGATTGCATAGTACGACATTTGTCAACATTGAATGGCAGGGTGTTTTGAACTGACCAGTTGGACACCGTGTCAACATCGCACTGGAGCTGTTCGTGGTCGTCCGGTCCTCTGCCCTGTCGACATATCATGATATCATCCGCGAAAAACAAGAGATCGGAAGCAATTGATCCCGCCAAATTGTTAAGTAACACCAAGAATAGACGAGCCTTAGGACCGAGCCTTGTGGTACACCACATTACATATCAGTTACATCGTACAGAGATTCCAGGACTCTCAACTCCAACCGACGTTCGTGTAGAAACTTACTAATCCAACTCAGGATTGGGTTGCCAATGCCGCAGTTCCATAGCATGTAAAGGAGAATTTTATGGTCAAAGCGATCAAACACTTTTGAGAAGTCCGGTTACATTTATTGCGTTCATTGAGTTTTAGGGGGCAGAAGGGAAATCGCATGTTAGCCCGTCGCCTCCAGATCAGCAAGAGAAGCATGTGTATCTTATCGACCCAACCGTCCTTGAGTGACCATGGAAGTCGCAGAGGAACAACGCTGTCCAGGATTCTTGCGCAGATGGGAATCCAAAAGCCGCTTGAAACTTTCCTCAGTCTGTGTGCTGGCGACGGCAGGTCACATAGACCCCTGCTACATTATCAACGACTTTAGCCCAGCTTTTAGGTGCAATTAATACGTTAGTTGTACAAGAACGCTTTTGACAGAAGCCATGTTGCTCTAGGGCTATTAAGTTTTGGCTTTCCAGATACTGTATTAGCGCATCTGCGATGACTGATTCCATAAGTTTGGATAGTAGAGGAAGTAGGGTTATGGGATGGCAGTTGGTAGGGTCGGTGCAGCTACCTCTTTTATGGATAGGAGTGATGACCCCTCGCTTTCGCATTGGTGGAATATGGTTCCCCCCTAGACATCGCTGGTAGAAAAGGGCCAATGGTTCTGCTAGATCACTAGCTACTGTTTGCTGAGCCTTCGCTCGGATGTCCTCAACTCCAAGAGAACTGTGGACACGCAAGGATAACAACTTTAACACAACTTCCGAAATGAAGGTGATGTTGTCTAAACCCGACGGTAGAGTAAGAAAAATGAGAATATTGGGGCTCGTTACCCACTGGAAAGTTTGGGTGTAGTGAAGCTGTAGAAGATCGGCTGCTTCCACTGCTGACCGCGTACATCCATCAGCGGTGACCAGTGCTGGAATCCCGTACTTCACTTTTAGAAAGCTATTAACGTGCCTGTACAAAATGTTGCGGTTCGTGCAGCATCGAGTCATTAAGTCCTTCTGATGCATAATCTTGTCCTCTCGGATCAATTTCACGCAGAAGTTAAGCTGTACCACGTATGCAGTCCAGGTTGCGGCCCGCTATGGCAAATACCTCAGAGACATACATTTAAGTGTTTTGATGCTTAGAAATGACTAATATTTGATTTTAAGTTGGAACGACGTCTGTTCCAATGCGCGCTACCACTGTGCTAAACGTCTTTGTAAACATTCCCTAGACAACGTCTGGAGAGCATTCGCTTAAGAAAACTAAAGACCTATCCTTAACGCACGCAGATAACAGGTTGTAACGCGTGACAGAATGCACATTATCATCCTCCTATTCAGAATATTCCGTAGAGCATATATAGCCGAAAAGTAGAGTAACATGGTCACTAGGACCCAGTGGAGTACTTGTAACTATTACATCGATCTTGAATTCTTTGTTAGTGAGCACAAGATCGAGTATCGACGGCTTGTTAGAAATTCAAAATCCCTTGGGAGTGGTTACTTGGTTGTACAGAGGGTGGCTAGGAAGTACGTCTTGCAAGCAGACTATAGACTGCGCACCATCGGTTACTAGCGGTTCCATGTCATGCGCA